AATATGGTTGTGGGTATTGATTTAGAGAAGACCCACACCCACACCCACACCCACACCCACACCCACACCCACACCCACACACCCACACCCACACCCAAAAATAATTAATCATTGTTTTCAGTTTGTTTGAGAGAAAAGCGTTGAACACGGCTATTACCAAAATCGACGACATAGAGATTTCCATGTCGATCGAAGGATAAACCGGTGGGAATTCACAACTGATTAGCCTTTACTCCGAGTCCACAACGACAGTGCCCTGCTTCGCTTGTTTAGGCCAGCGCATTACTCGATAGCTTCGCGAGTCAGCCACATAGAGGGTACCCAATGTATCGACAAATAGTCCTTGAGGTTTTGATAACTGTGTCAGAGCATTCCTCTTGCCTCGACCTCCAGCGACGACAATGCCTTTTGTGCATCTTTATTCCATTTCATCACATGATGATTATTCTCGTCTGATACCTAGACAGTTTGTTGTCGATCAACAAAGAAATAGGTCGACATGTTGAGTTGATTGAGACCAGCACCTTTGCCATTGCCACCAGCTACAATAGTTCCATTCTTATCTCCTATTTCATATCGTCTTACTTCATGTTTGTCAGTATCAGAGATGTAGAGATATCTCTGATTATCCATAGCTAATCCCCATCAATTGATATTGTCAATGAGTATTTCTCCTTGAGTGGTGCCACTACGACGAGACCACTATAGAGCTCTTTGATTCTCGAAATCACAGATAATGAGACAATTCATCAATTTGTCGATCACTACATCACTTGGACGACTTAATTGATTCAATCCATTTCCTTTGTCATGGCCACCAGCTACCACTTGATCCTTCGTATTACCTATCTTCCATTGCATGATACGATGATTCCCGTACTCAGTGATGATCATGGTTTGATCATCATCAATGAAAAGACCTCCAGGATAGTGAAGCTAATTGTTGGTATTGCCTGCTCCATCGTCTCCAGCAACGGTCAGGATGTGCATGTGGGGTGGAGGTGGAGGTGTGGGTGGGTGCGGGTGTGGGATGTGGGTGTGGGTGTGGGTGGGTGTGCATGTGAGTAAAAATAAGTCGTTGACCCACACCCAATTGCCCCGTTACCAGTTGCCCTGGAACTGGTAACTTTCCCGTTACCGTTACCGGGTAACGGCAACTTCCTACCCCTACCCACACTCACCCACAACCAGACTCACACCCCACCCCCACCCCCACACCCACACCCACACCCCACACCCACTCCCACATCCACACCCACACCCACCCCTTTCAGATGATTTCCGTCTTGAGGTTGCTCGAACTAGCACATCTCTATCGTATGTAATAGCATGTCTGTAGGATTTCACCGCTATTATGATATGCTTCGACAGTGTTGTCGTACAAGAGATGGATTATTATTGACGTTCTCTTTAGGATTTGCCAGAATATCGTTAAAGCTGTCAGTATGGTCTTCTTTTTCGGAAAGTGCAATACTGAGATTGAAGCAATTGAAAGATCATCTAGAGAGTATTCACTGGGTTCTAGACAAAAATAGCTGCCAGTCAGCTGCGTTTGCCTCACCTTTCATCCTCAAAATAGGAATTCATTGTCACGAAAATAAATATTTTTATTACAAGAAGTTCTTGTAAATTTGTTGTTCTGCATCGATGACAAAATGTACGTGATACTTTTTTCTCGATCACAACTGTCAAGCTATTTGTCAACCCATTGGAATAATTCATCAATCAGTTGATCGGCTTCATTACGGCCATATGCATTGCCGTTTGTTCTTCTACAGTAGAAAGTGCCAATATCTTCACGGGTGTGGGTGTGGCACTAAAATGAAAGAATATCCGCACCCACATCTCACCAACACCCACTCCCCACATCCACACCCACATCCCACTTACACCCACTCCCCACACCCACACCTACATCCCACCAACACCCACTCCCCACACCCACATCCCACTTACACCCACTCCCCACATCCCACCCACACCCACTCCCCACACCCACATCCCACTCACACCCACTCCCCACACCCACACCCACATCCCACCCACACCCACCCCCCACACCCACACCCACACCCGCATCCCATCCACACCCACCCCACAACTAACGAAACCTCCTTTATTGACATCTACATTTACGAACACAGAGAAGAACGATATACTACAGTTACGAGATGACTCCATTGCGAAATGACTTCGTTACGAAGTCTAATGGTAAGCGGCCCCTTACCATGAGAGAAACGCAATAACAGAACGTCTAAGTAATGAAGTGAAGATTTCGTTACCAAATCACTTGGCATTCAAGTCAACCTAAAACGAAATTCCACTTCGTAACGAACTCAGCTACTTAAGACGAGCTATATTATATAGGGACAGCATGGACCTCGAACATTCGATCCTGGTTCATTTTCGATCGCCTGCCTCTTCAGAATAGCTTTTTTGGAGATATTATCTTTTGGCAAATTATATTCGGCGAAAAAATATTTTGGCGAAAAAAATCTTCGGCAAAAACGGAGAATACCGTGTCATCCGATAGTTTGTGTAAATTCTGGTCCTGCATAGATAATATAATTAATGGTCTGGTAAGGATTCATAATATTGATCATCATTCCTTGGCCCTCCGACGCCGTAGCACCAACAATTGCATGTGAATGGGCGCCTGCCTCCCGAATAGTGATCTTTGAGAAGTCTCGAGCTATCGTGTGGCTGTGCTGACCAAAATCGTTGGCGCCACCATTACGATTACTAAAACCATAGGGACCCGACGAGAGGGCAGAGATACCTGTTTTCCCACCATGATCGTGCCCAGGATCATCATAAGAATGGGTATGGTTACCACTGATAGATATTGCTAGTGAGCCACGTGCATGTGAGTGAGGGGGTAGTTGGCCTTGGGTGAGAGTTATTTGTGATGCGCCACCTTGTCGCATACCTGATCGCTGGCCAATCGAGCCATCGAGACCCAAAGGGAATCGGCCTCGAAAGTCAGGAACATTAAATGTGCGAACATGATCACCCGTGCCATACAACGTGCCAATGACAAGAAACAATGGGAAATAGGTCATGCGTGATACCGCCGATCCATCACACAAAAGCCAATGCGGCGGAATAACGTCACCGCCAAACAGAGCAATAGTGCCGATAGGCAATTGATTCGGGGCAAGAGAGTCAACGCCTGCCGATTGTGTTGGCGACAATGAAAGCGAGAGCGAAATAAGAATTGGCAAGAGAGAAAACATGCTTTGAGATATGTTGATTCTTTATAACGGTGTCATGATTCACAACGAATTGTATTTATATCTTGCACGGTTGCCAATCTTTATTCATATTGGTTTTTTCCGAGAAAAACGCGACTTGACAACACGAATGACACATGACCATGCATGCAATAAAGCACTGATAACAGTAAACCTTTATGTGAGTCACTTACTGTCTAGGAAGTCAAACAATCAAATTCATGTCATTCAAATGCACTCGTGTTGTTCTGTGTCCTTCTCATGTTGAAAATGTCATCTGTTTTTTGAAAACTTATTTTTAAATCAAATTGCACATGTAGAGAAACGTATTTTCGTGAAGCTTTGAGTTCGAATCTTAGGGTGTGGGTGTGGGGTGTGGGTATGGGTGGTGTGGATGTGGGGTGTGGGTGGGTGTGGGTGTGGGTGTGGGTGGGTGTGGGTGGGTGACCCCACACCCACACCCCCACACCCACATCCGTCTCATACTCCACTATATCATGAACAATTATCATATTACTATATCTCTTCTTTTGTTCCACCACTGTATACATGTTTTTGTTCTTTTTCATATTTTCCTCCCTTTCATACTTTTTTCTCACTCTCATTAATCCGTGTCTAGCCTGACGAAGAAAAAATTCGAAACGCGTTGCTTATCATTACTCTTCTTTATTTCTAATTCAAATAAACTAAATTTGTACCTATTTTTCCTCATTCAATTTCTTCCTTAACTCATCTTCAGATTTCTTCAATAACAAAAAACAAAAGAAAAAAATTATATATATAAATTATATACTTATATTATTCCAAATATATGTGAAACGATTTCCTCTATTTTCCATAATTCATTAAAACAAAAAATTCTATTTTGACAACAATCGATTCGAATCCACATAGCACAACTTACCACACCCCCGTCAACACTTAAACAGAAAACAAAATTCAAAAAGTATGCCTCATACACACGATAAACTTAAAACACTTTCAGCGCGATTCAAAAATAGAGAAATAGATGCTTAAAAATATTTGCGAGACCTATCTTTCTTAGTTACAACAGAAGTAAAAGTGCAAATTGTTTGATGTATGTTCTCTTTAAATGTTTCTCAATGTATTTCAATTGAAAATATGAACTTTTCATTCATCTTTTTGTATTCTTGCACTCAAGAAGAATACAAGAATCTATATTTTCTTCCATTTCACAGCATAACTTGATGTCCAACAGCTTTATCTGATAGCCGACATCTTCTATGTTTTGTCACTCTATCGGTAAAGGTTACAAAATAGCAGCATTAGATACAGTTAGTAGTAAGGTGTCAACAGATGGTAACATAATAAGGTAAATTCAATAAAGTAGTACGTCTGAATTATACTATGCTATCTCGAATATAATTGAGAATTCATCTGTTAATCATGTATTTGCTCCGCATGATTATCAACGGATATGTAACAAGATCATAAGCAATGAAACAAGTAGAAAAGACGACTAAAATCAGCTCAACATGTAAGTTGCTTATGGTATCAATTCTTGTTTGAAACTTACCTTAATATATTTTGTAAGCTTATTCAAGTATGAATGTAAAAAGAAACGAACAATAACCAGAGAGGTGTTTTTCATACTTTTTTTGTTTCGTACAGAAGAATAGTTTTTGTGATTATAAAACGAAAGAATCACTAAAAAATAAATGACAGGTTAGATACTATCTGAACATAACATCATAATAGGTGATGATGCATATAGTACAAATAAAAGAACAAAAACAACTAGCATAACTAAATATTATTCAGTTTTTCTCTATGATCACTATTTAATAGCCAAGAATTTCTAGCTGCTGTTACACATTGTCGCACTTGATGATTATTGAATTTTTCATCGAATACAACACGAGTTATTGTCTTATAAAATTGATTTGATATTGTTGGTAAATTCTTTATTGGACTTTTTTCATGATTTATTTGTGTATTTTTCAAAAGTAAAAGTAATTTACTAAGACCATCATGTCGTTCATGAGCTTTCTTTGATTGAATTAAACGATTTAATAAATTGAATGTATCCGTTGGTATATTACAACTAACTAAATGTATATTCATTAATAATTGATCACATTGAGCATCATTTGAAAAGATCTAATAAAATATTGTATTTAAGAGGATTCAGAAAGTTTTTGAATATTTACTTTTCCACGATTTTTAGCAATCAATGTTGTCCATTCATCCAGTGATACTTCAGGAAATTTTCGAAAATTTCGAAATACGAATTGAAGAGCTTGAATAAATTTCGGAAGTAAAATTTCCGATGAAAGTTGTTCATCAACGAGATATCCACGTAATTGTCGTATGATAAGTGCATTCATTGATGCATCATCAGATTCCAAATGACGAAATAATTCACGATGTATATTAGAAGTATTGATTTTATTATTATTTTTTGGAGTAGCAGAAGCTAAAATCATTTTTGAAAAAAGCTATATACTTCAAATTAAATTTTCAAAATAGTTCAATGATAAAAGAGACGATTTGTACATCAATTAAAGAACAAAAAAAAAACTTTATAACTTTCCAGAGTTTTCTTTAAAAGATTGCTTTCACGTGTTGTTTGATCTATTGACTATTTTACAGAATGCATTAATCTATAGTGCAAAAAGTTTTGACACAAAAATGTAGGTTTTTAGCTCCTAACAAGAACAAATATTAGGTACGTATTCAAGACCAAATCCAACAAATAGTTAGAAAATTTTATGTCACTGTGACTATTACAGTCTATTGATCTAGTTCAAAAACAAGATGTTAAATACGGCATATCTATTGAGCGACCTCTGGACTTTCTTTTAGTTTTCTTCTAAAACAGGGCAAAGAAAAATAAAAACATCTTCAATGATATTATATTGATGCATATAGAGCATTCTTTAAAAATACTTATGAGAAAACAGCTGGAGACGATACCCACTGTTCGAGCAACATTTCCTCTGCAAAGACGCCTTACGTCTTATCTTTAGGAATTTACCTGAAAATTCCATATGTCAACACAATTTGTTCTTTTCGACTGAAGCTTGCAAAATATTCTCAAAGGCACTAAACCTACTTAACAGAAAGTTTCTGTTCGAAATTCCTCTAGATAATTCTCTATTTTATGTTGAATTTCACAGTTGTAATATCTAGAATCTTCCTGTATGAAACAGTGTTTTTTGTAAGAAAATGAATAAGTCATTGTCAGAAAGATGTATTTGTAGATTTCAATTATTGAATATTAATGTGAATTTTATACTAAAATCAGTTCTAAAAGATGGCTCCCAGTAGTGGAACCAAAGATTTCGATCTAGGGGATCTCAGTTCCACTCCTTCTAGCTTCACTACTAGATGACTGTATATCCATCAATATTATATCATTAATAACATTTGTTTCAATGTATTCTTGTTATTGTCTAGAATGAGAATTAATCAATATATATGTTTCGTATTTCACAATATGTTACATTTCTTTTTTGTAGCTGAAAAGTAAAAAACACTTGCTACAATCAAGTTTTAGTATTATTTGAAAGACACGTGAAGAATTTTTAATATAGCATTATTTCTAAACTTACGTTCTTCATTTTCATCAGATTGATTATCTGGTGTCTTTTTTGCATAAGATTCTATTTGTTGTTTAAATATACCCTGTTGAAACATGGGTGATTGTAGTGCAATATCTTTTAATTGTTCATAATTATCTGATCGATCGAAAAGAATTTCTAATAAACTCATCATTGATCTTTTCCATTCGGCAATAGCATATTTTCCATTTTGTACTTTTAATATAATTTCTATTTGATTGATAGTTTGATCATTATCTTGATTATTCTTAATTAGTTTTAAGAAAATTTTTGGTGATGAATGTATTTTCAATTGAAGTAATTCGATAAGAAATTGAAGAAGATGTTTAAATGTTTTATTATTTAATTTTGAATGTTGAAAAATTAAATTTGATATTTGAAGTGTTTGTTCAATAGATAAAAATTCATTATCAAATGTGTAAATTAAAAAAGAAATTAATTTGTTAAAATCATCTTTTTGTTTTAATTCATTTTGAATGAAATAAATTAAATTAGAAAAATTATTTTCATTTAAATTTGTTTGTAGTAAATTAATTAATACATCAATATTTAATATTAATGTTAAACGTGATGTAATAAGTTTATATTGTTGTTTAGTAAGACATAATGAAAAAAAATTTGTTTCTTTTTTTATCATATTTATTAAGCGTTGCTGAAACAAAATTAAATCTGGTGAATTTGAATAATCAGCATCAATTATAAGAAGAATTATTGTTGTTACAAAACAAACATTTATTTCAAATTCAATTGTTATTTTTTTGAAATTTATTGATTGTGAAATATCTTCTAATAAATTAAGAAATTCTAAATGTGCCTTGAAAAATAAAATAAAATAAAATAATATTTCTTTTTTGTAAATAAAATTTAGATTTACTTGACAATCTTTTAAAAGAATATTATTTAGTAATTGATTGAGAATAGTTCGATTAATTATTAGAAGATTATTTTTATTTAAACGAAAATTTTCATAAGCTTCATTGATTGAACGATAACGATTTTTTCCTAAAATATTTTTTACGAGAATATTTTTTAAGTCTTGACATTTTTCATTGGAAAATTTTTGTCGATTTTTAAATATATTTATAACTGTTGTAGTCAAATAATCATATAGTTTATCATTTTTCATTAATGGTCTACTTTTAAGTAATAGTAAATAATGATTTAAATCTGATTCTGTTAATAGAGGATGAGTTTTCAATTCATTTAATGATATTGAACGAGAATAAAATGATACTAAACGTTGTTGCTCAGCATATGGTATTGGACGAACAATTGTTGATTGATGAAGAAATTTATCGAGTATTTCTTTAAATTGTTCAGTTGTAAATGTAATGGCATCCGAAGAAAATATTTCAATAAGAGAAATCAAATAAAGTAGAACATGATCATCAATTATTGGAATTAAATCGTCTGACTGTGTAGGCTAGAAGAAGAATAAAATATAAGAAAATTTTTTTCAACTCTATTGAAATGCATGAATTACTTTTAGATTCTAATGAGTTATGAATATTCCGAAATGATTGCAATACAATCCCGGTATGCCTCTGAGGATAATTTATTTTTAGAATTTCGACTTGAAACTTTGTACACAGGTAGATCTTTTAATTATTCTTATTCTAAGATACTGTGTAAATGATCTGACACTTTCATCATTAATTAATCTCATGAAGACCTGTTTCTTTGCAACGTTTCAAATCGAAATTCAACAATCAGTATGTCGAGGGTTTTGCTCATAACCTGAGAGTCTTCATAGTATATTTGCTTTCGGTTGAAAAGTGATTAATTAATTGGAAGTCGTGTTGCGAACTTTTTCATTTTGTCATCTATAAACTTTCACAAGATCCAACAGATCGACATGAACAAACAATGTTGAACATGTAGAAGAACTAGTTATTTTACTGAGGCTATGTGTGAACAATTCATATCAGTGGTTTCAACATGTAGAACAAAGCAAGATGTATCAAGCTCTACTATGAAAATTAACAATCAAGAGATATACTTAAAAATCTGAAGGTTATAAGAGGGATAACATATACTATAGTCATACTCATGTTGGTTAACCTAGGAATGCTTTGTCTACTTGAGTCAAAATCTATAAAGAATAAATAGAAGTGTATAACAGCCGGTCGAATTTCTCTTGATATGCATTTGGATTGAGTCGAAAAGGTTAATAGATTCTTTGGCTTATTCGAGGATGTCTTTTCAGCGAATATTTCAAAAATTAATTCGATCAAATGGTTGTCAGAGATGGAATTCTACCTCTGATATTTATAATCAAATCATTTGAGGTTGGACACCAATGAAGTTGATTCAGTTATATACCGGAAAGCGGCAAAATACTACAATATTTTGTGATTCACCTATATTTTGCCTTAAGAAAATGAGCAAGTCTTATATTTTTTCAAAAAAAAGATCTGCAGTAAAAATCTCTACAAAACACTGTATCAAGAATGATATAGGTGAAAAACAAAATATCTCGATCATTATGTTGTATTATATATATCAGTGAATGATATGTTATAAAATGTACCTGATCATTAGTTTGAGTTAAACTATTATTTTCAGAAGAAGAAAATTGTTCTAACTAAATAAAACAAAACAAAACAAAAAATACATAATAAAATAAATTAAAATAATTAATGAATTAATTTACTTGTTCATTCTTAAATTCTGGTTTTGATCTATCAAGTATGATTATCATTTGTTCATAGGCTAATTTTTTGTCGTCAATACTTTGACTTCGCAACTTCGTTTCAATGTGATTTAATTCATTAATAGTTATTGGTGCATGTCCTTGATTTAAATAATATTGAAAATAAAATTTTTGTTTGGAATTAAATAATGTCGATTGAATACCAGATTTTAATACACATTCATATTGATCTTGATTTAAATGACCACTACTAGCCATGGTTAAAATAATAAAATACCACATAGCATGTTGAAGAACATTTTTTTTGGATTTTCTTTTTTTATTAAGAGTTTTATTAATAATTTGATCTAATTCTGAAATCCATTGATCGAGATCATTTGGTATTTTATTACCGTTTTTAAATAAAACTATCCGTTCTTTCCATGCCTGTATTGGATTATCACGTTCAAAATTTTTCATAAGAATATTATAATATATATGAAGTTCGTCAAATTGTTCATTTGAAAAAATATTTTTTTTCATATCAAATAAAATTGTTTTTGAAAAATATTCCAAATATTTTATATCAATATATATATTTGATTTCAATACATATTTAATTAAATCAAATAATATTGTTGATATTGGTGATGTTGAACGAATAATATGTTCTTGAAAATCATCTAATATTAATTGTTGAATTTTTGATTGAGTTTTAATATGTTCTATAATTATATTTAAAGGTATTAATGTACGTTGTCGACAAAATATTGAACGATCTTGATTTAAAAAATTATATTTTTGTGGTAATAAAATATTTTTTAAATCATATAATGCTAAATATTGATCATTTGTAAATAGAAAATTATTTTGTGCAACATGACAAACAAGTAAATAGAATATTGATTCTTTTTCATATAATATTATTGAAAGATTTTTTCCATGAAGTTTTTCAAGTTTTCTTATACGTGCAAGAAGTAATTTAAATGTTTTATTTCGTTTTTCATCTGTATAACAACAATCAATTAATTTTGTTGATTGATTACAAATTCGTTGAATTCGACCTTGATCTCTTTTTGAAAGAATTATTTCGATAGAAGATATTGATGAAGAAGATTCTGATCGAATTTGTTTCTTTTTATTAGTTAAATCAGTACAATTATTAGCACGAGATTTAACTTTTGACTTATCTTTTTTCATAGGACAATGATATTGAATATGACCATATTCACCACAAATGTAGCAATCATCTAAAATAGAGAGATTGTTCATTTTAAAGAATATGAAAAATATTTTCATGATTTACAAAGTCGAAGATCAGCACCATATTTATTATTGGATGGAGCTGCACGTCGTTCTTTATTTGTACTGTTATCAGGTTCATCGCTAAGATCATTTGTACTACTGTTACCTGATGATTTTCGATTATGGTTTCCACGAGCTAAAGCTTCATGTACTGTACTTTGTTCAGAATGTTGATGATCTAATTAGTTATAAATAGATGAAGTCATTCACTTTATATATTAAATTATTCTAGATAATCTGAAAAATTTAATGCAAGCAACCTTTCTCTAGAAAAATTAATAGTAAAATACTACTGTTATTCCTTCTAGAGAATTTCTCAAATATTTGGAATTTAAATAGAAGTTTTTTCTAGAGATACGAATCACGACGTAAAATTCATTCTGAAATTTTCGGATTTTTTTCTTATATGATTAACGAAATATTTACTAATTATTTTTTAACTAGTTGATATTTAGTAGATAGAAAAAATATGTTTTACGTATGTCTATTCTAAAAGAATTTATTAAGAAAAATCACTGTCGATAAAAATCATAGTTAAATGACAAGGTGAATATATCCTATATTGTCACAAATAGCTCATATCTGTCGTATTGTTAGAAATATTAGCGCAGGAATCTTCATGTCGTAATATGAAGCAAAATTACACATCTGTAGCCGATGCTAGCAGTATGACTATCTACAAATTTTGTACTATAGATGTATCAGCCGATTTTAAGATTGATAGTAAAATAAATAAGTCAAATGCAGAGCACTCTATTTCTGTTTCGATAATTTGACAATATCTGGAGATTTTATACTTGAAACTAATCAGAAAAAAAATATAATGCAATAATGGAACCCATTCGACTGATAATAGCCGTTTGAAATCATATTCTGCTCATAGGTAGGAATCGTAGTTAAAGACCTGCAAGTAACTCTGAACTCCAATTCCAACTCCGGCATGATTATAACAAATATGAAATCTTTCTTTAAGTTTTTTTTCTTATACAAGATATCTTGGTTGATATTAAAATTCGAACACTTCGAATTGGGAATTTTCTAACTTTATTCCAAACCTTATATTGAATGTATTATTGATTTGTTTTTTTTTCATAGAAAAATATGTTCATTGCTCGCTTAATTATTAATCTTAAGTATTATTCGTATGATATCGTCAAAAGTCGCAATTCTTGTTAATTTAATTCAATCAAAACAATTTGGACATGATTGACTTATCTGGTATTTCAAACAGTAAAATGAAGAAAAAAGCTTAGTATTTACCGCTTCGTTTATCACGTAAATGTACAGTAGAAGCATTACATTGATTCGATATTGGCTCTATGCAATTCAAGATATTCAAAGTATAAAAATTCATTCTATTTCATACTTGTTAATGATCGACTTTTATCTCTTGGTGATACTAAACTCAAATCATGGTGAGATGAATCATCATGATAAGTGTGTTTTTTTTTATGTTGATTACTTGCACTCTGTTTTGATTCATTATTAGTATTTTTTGTAACACTTGTTATCTTTTTATCGTCTTCACTTTCAGTTACATCTTCATATAAATCATCATCATCATCATCATAACTATCTGGTTTTTCAAATGTACGTTCTTCAATATTTTTTAACCAACTATCAATGATTTGATTTTGTGACATTGATAAAACATATGTATTTGATACTAATTGAAGTAAAAATCGTAATTGATCATCATGAAAATATTGATTAAATGATGTCAAAATTATTTGGGATATACATTCGAAAAGTAAATCATGATGTCCAGGCAATTGTTTATGTATTTCAGGCGTTTGAAGAATACTAATTAAAGTATCATAAGCAGAAATAACGGATTTTTTATCATGTGATGATGATAATAATAATTTATTATTGAGTAATTTTTGAAGATGAACTGCAACTGTATCTTTTGCCATTATTTTGATTTCAATATAGTTTTTTCAAAAGTTGTTTTGAAACACACTTCAATATGTATAACAATTCAACAGAAAACAAAATGTAAATAAGATTTCGTAATTCAAATTTTTATTTATTATTACAAACGAAAATCCAATAAATAAAAAGATGAAATACAAAGTCATTCCTTTATTCCAGCTATTTTAAAGATGTCGCAATATCCTGAATTAGTTCGAACGAGAAAGAATAACGAAATATTTTTTCTTCTATGTGGAACCAACTAATACTTTCTAAACAATAATATGTATTTCATCAAAGATCATTAATCATACTGAAAAGCATCTGCTGTCTATTACTTAGTCGATTGACTTAAGAATCGAATATAATTGTAAACATATCTTTTGATTTCAACAACTAGTTGTAATATTTCTTCTTAACTGACTTTTACGATAGTCACTAAATTCAAGCAAAAATAATACTACAATACTCATACAGTATTTTGACACTTATAGCCACAAAAGTAACTTATAAAATCAAAACCGTACAAATCTTTGATTTATAAATATTGCAAAAAAGCAGTGTTATAATATTTTGAATGCTCTCAGAATTTCTATTGTGTTTTCAGTATTGCTAAAAAGTATCGACAGCTGTAAAAACTCCGACATATTAGAAGATTCCCTTGAATAAACAACGCAAATGACATTAGAAGACCTCCCTCGCCCTTTTGAAATAGATGATTTTCTTTATGCCATTCAAGACAGTCTGTACTTGAATAATATGAAATATTATTAACGGACGTCTGTTTGCAACATGTGAAAAACAATGTTCTTTATGGACGACACGCATTTTGAACATCACAAATTAGGATGGTGTGGATGTGCTGCGGGGACTACGTTAACAGATGACTAGTCTCCCCTCTCACACCCACGCTCAAGTTCGCTGGTTTCAAAAACAATTGTTTATGGAACATTAATTTTAGTTGAAATTAATTTTCATTATAAATACAAGAGCATTCAGAGTTCAATTGCACTACACTTTAGCTGTGAGTGTTGTTGATAATAGTTCTGGATAGTATTTTACAACATGCTGAATAATGTTTGTGTCAAGTATTTGCAAGAAGTTTCTCGAGTGTGATAGTTGTTATAGCCGAAATGTTCCCATTCAGTTATCACACGGAAGGAAAACGATAATAAACATTCCTTTCTAGAATAATGGTAATACAACTCCCCAGAAAGCAGAACACCCATGGTTCGATTCCTTACCAAGGAATATCATTCTTCTTTGCGTTTTGTTGTCATATCATCATCGCACTGCCACGCTGATAACATCTTATTACAATATTTGCTTAACAATAAATATATAAGCTTGTCTTCTTCCTTTTCTACATTATTAACTGCAGTAAAATGTTTGGTGCGCTTATCTTCATCGCTCTATTTCACTTGCCGATAACTATCGGAGATACTGTTTCTTGCATTTGTAAACGGCCGGGTTTTTCTGGCTATGCAGAAGCAAATTATTGTTCACTTGATATTTGCGGATCAGCTTGCTATGATCGTTATCCGAAGTACAAAAATCAGACTCTGTACATTTGTTGTTCTCTGGGCTTCTGGAATCAAGTGAATTTTGTATTACGCTGTGGTTCTTATCCACCTGAGAATAACTGTGCTTGCTTTTGCGACGGGGGATTCATTTTCACGGCTTTTGCATCATCCACCTCTTCTGAAACTTACTCAAGGGCCTGTGCTGAAGCATGCTTTGATACATTTTCTGAGCAATGTTCAGTAACAAGTATACGCGGTTGCTCATCAACATTTGGTAAATCTATTTGTGCGTACTATAAGAAAAACTATACGTGCGACTGTGTGTGTTATGGCACTGATCTAGACAGAATACCGAGTCCTATGTGCTCGGCTTCTGGATGTGTTGGAGTCTGCTACGACGCATATGTCTCAGCCTGTGCTTCGTCCATACTTCGCGGTTGTACAGTGGACTGTGGTCCACAGATGTGGAAACACTATGTAAACATGGATCTTAGTTTTATGGATTCTACACATTTATGTCACTGCAACTGTCCGACACCCATTGGAACCACCAGGAGTACTAGCTGTGAAACGTGTACGACAGCCTGTTTGAATGACTTCCCGATTTGTCAAATTAATAACGCCACAACACTGTGTGCTTGCAATTCGTATCCATCAGATACAATGATACCAAAGACCATCAAAAAAACCTCGACCTATATTGCAAATTCTTCAGAGTCGCACTGGTCGAATTATTCGGTTACATTCTTCGCCTTTCTTCTTTCGTTTCGAAAGGAGTTTCCTTTGTTATAATTGAAATAGAACGACTGAACCAGAAATAATTACGATATTTATTATTTTCCAAATCTCTCCTTTCCCGACTGTGAGTCTAAATTAAGTGACACTATCACCTATACTCTGATCACCTCTGCACATAGTGCATCATCGACAAGATGCAAATGCTGACACATTGCTATGCTTAACTTTTCAATAAATAATGATTCATTTTAGTGCAATAAGAACTTTTACAATAGATACTAGCAGATCGCCTAACTGACATCGGGTTGCTTCAATCGAATAAGTGATGCTTTTCGAAACAGGCAATGTATTTGACCATTGAAAAAATTGAAGACTGTGGGTGCATGACTGTAGATGGGGTATCTGGGTGACACTTCAGAGCTTCGTCGCGTGCATCCACACCCACACTCTCACGATTTCTTCTAGAAACAACAAAGAACTATTTTTCATATGTAGATAAATATCTTTACCCAATTTCTTTGATCTTCCTTCTTGTTTTCTTAAAAGTTTTATTTTTTTGACTATCATCATTTTATGGTTTTAACTCAAATTTTCGATTGATTCTTTGTCGCTTTTTAAATTAATACACAAACAATAAATGCATTAAATCTCCAATAAATACCGACAAATGCATTGCACGAGCCTAAGGAGTATAATAAATTGTTTTTTGAGAATATTTTACACAAAAAGATTATCTATAAGTACTTCAAACTAATGCAGAGAAATTTTCACCATCATTAAAACAGTAAATCCATGTATTTGACAAATCGATGATCCCATATACATATAAATATAAGAGAAATAATTCTCGGAATACTTTTACGGTTCACAAGCCTTTTGATTTATTTGCTTCAAGAGAACAAGTCAATAATACCATGAAACAAATAGAATTAATAGTAGCTAATATGGTCAAAATTCATCTGTAGCACACAAGGATGAACACGATACGCACTCATTTTTTTTTACATATTAATGGCTTATTCAGCAAAATATTCAAGTAATGAATCTCATTGAAGTTATTTTCATTATAGGCTCAAATATTCAATGGAAGGATCGATTCGACATGAATTGTTATTCACTATTCTTTTTCTATTCAAAGGACACGATTTTGTTCACAGATCAATCTATAGTTAAGGCAGTATCTCTCTTGCTGACAGTACAATCAAACACATATTGTACACACATGAAACTTGCATGTTCTTCGACAACGATAGCATGACTAAAATGAATAACAATCATCAACTTTCTAAACAATTGTTGCTAATGGTCATCTACTCAAAGTTGAAACGTCTCGACTTGTTCTTTTAAAACTTTTGGAAGAAATTTGTTGCTCAAAAAGATATATGGTTATTCGCTTGAAAAAGAATGACGATGTGCATAAAGGTAAAAAATGAATAAAAGAACGAGAGGGTGTGGGTGTGGGTGTGGGTATGGGTGTGTGGGTGTGTGGTGTGGGTGTGTGGGTGTG